GGTGTTTGGGGGGGGGGGTTCTGCACTAGGGCTATGCTGAGTCTCCAAGTTCACCACTGGATTATCTCCTATAGCACTGCAAACTCTGGTGCCTGAATAGGTGCCTTTGGTTAACAACTTGGAGGATGACCACATGCACAGCCCTAGAAAATGCCAGAGGGGCTGCTCATACAGCAGTGAAGTTGCATGTGGTGGTGTTCACCATGGTAGTGGTCACACCTCTGCCCCTGGCATCTCCTTCCTGGTAGATACGCCCAGCTCAGCTGCGCGACACGAGCTCACTTGGCAGAGCCCTCCAGCAGCTCTTCCCAACCTCAGCTACTGTGATTTCCCCAGCTTGGGGCAGGCGGGAGCATACATGGTGCTGCTCGGTGGTGGCCATCAACCAGCAGACCCTGCCAGGCTGCGGGTCAGAGGCAAGCTGCGGATGGCAGGAACCAAGCCCTGCCCTAGTATGGCCTCCAGATGGGGCATGGAAGAGGAAAAGCAAGGAGCCACCCCCCCGTAGAGCTCAGCACCACGCAATGTTTAAATGCTCTGTGCTTCATGGAAGACCAGCAACAGGCTGAGGACATCCCACGCCCCCAAGCCGCCCACTCCCCCAGGCTGAGCAGCCCCTCGCCAGCTCTCCAGCACCTTCTGGCCCGTACGCCGGCAGCGTTTGCGCCATCCCAAACACAGGCTGACTGAGCGAGCCAAGAATTTGTCCCAAGAATTTTTATGATCCCAGGAACATAAACAAGAGCTGAGAGCTCTCATGAGGGCGGGAGCGTGCAGCCGCCACCTCTCCTGCCGTGGCCACCCACCATTCACCATGGTGGCTGTCAGGAAGGACAAGCCAGGGCTTGGGACACACCATGCACCCAGCACCAGGACCTTTCCCTCTCCTCTCCCTGCTCTGTCCCTCTCCTGGCTCACAGGCAACCCATTGCCTTCTCCAGGCTCCCCACTACCGCCAGACCCCACAGCCCTGTGGGTGGTAGGAAGGGCTGAGAGCAGCTTGGCTCAGCAAACAGGCTGACAGCACCTCACTGCTCCTTACTGCTTTCCAAAGGCCTTGGGAGGGGGAGAAGAAAGCATGAAGCAAACCCTGCAGGGCTGGGAGAGAGCAGACCCATGAGAGCCTGACACCCAAAGCCACCAGCAGTGATGGGGACAGAAAGGTGGTGCCAGATCCTCATCAACATTTCATGAGGGTGGCTCATCCAAGGAGAATCAGCCCTTCTAAACTGGCTTCAAAACCACTGCCCAAGGCAGATGAAGCCCTACAGATGAGCTGCTAATGAAATAAAGGCCAGGCTGAGCTCTGACATGGGTCCAGGGGACCCTTGGCCAGGGACTGGCTGCTCACAGCCACCCGCAACCTGAGAGCCCTGTCACAGCCATCCCCTCCTCACACACCCTCCTCGCCCGGGGGAGGCACTGAGACAGCACCACCCAACCCCGGCAAATATTTGGGACAGGCAGGTATGCACCAAATTGCTAGGCTGGGCAGGGAGGGGACCGGGGACAGCATGGGCGGAGGGCCCTGCACTGCCTGCATCCCTGCCATGGGGACAGGGAGCGATGGGGAGCAACATCAGGGTCCGAGTATGTCAGCTTTGTGGCTTAGCCAGGAGAGGCTGTTCTGAGGAGAGAGGATGATCAGAGATGGTTTTTCAGTGGCGCTGGCTGGAGAGACCAAAGACAGAAACATTCATTCCTTATTCTCATTGCTGTTGCTCCTTGCTGACATTTCAGGTGACTGAGCCATGCTTTGGACCCCAGCCCAGCTGTCCCCCTCGCCACCAGCTGCTGGTATCACTGTGGGAGCTGCCTCTGAGCACCACATCCCCACAGAGGTTAAAAAAAAAAAAAAGTAATAAATAAATAAAATTTTAAAAAAGCAAATGCCACATCGCAGTTGGACCTGCCTGAGGACAGGGAGGACGCTACCCTGCATCTTCTTGACATCCACAACTTTTTTGGGCATAGCTGGGGAGCGCAAAGCCCAGCTGGAGGAGATGCTCTCCCCGGGATGTTGGGAGCACCAGTACATCCCGGTGGCACTGCTGGGACACTGGCAGAGGACGGGCAGCAGACAGGACATCGCGCAAGAGGAATGTCCTATTTACACACTGGTGTTTTAAAACTTTTGCACAGCGTCCCTGACCTCCCCTCCTCGCCGCCGTTCCTCAGACATTCCTGGGCTGCTTGATGGAGCTTTTTAATGAAGCAAGCAACCTCGGGATGGAGGTAGCCCCCGGGGGGTGCCGAAGGCATCTCCCAAATTGCAAGGAACCCAAGGGACGCTTTGCCGAGGACGCCGGGTGCCTGGCTCCTGCCCAGGAACTTCCACACCTTTATTTTGCTCAACACACCCAACACCCAGGCACCTTTCAGAGGAGATGGGGCATATCCAGGTGCCTAGGCAAAGTGTCACATTTGTGGGTGGGCCAGGGAGACAACCGCTGTGAGCACCCAGGGCTTGAGTCTGATCTCATGGACACAATTTCTAGATTTCTTAAAAAAACACCCCCTTAAGCCCCAGACAAAAGCAGAAGCCCTTCTCCATGTACAAGCACTTCTCTTCTTGCCTTTAAGGAGCACACACAGGACAGCAGCTCCACCAACCGAGCCAGGGAGGAACCCCAAACCCCCTCTGCCAGAGAGAAGTTCCGGCTGACATGCATCTGCCTTTGGAGGTGGGAGGGGAGGTCAGGATCTGTCCCTGGGTGCTGGAGCCACAAGCAACAAGGGGAGATGCTTGGAGACCTTTTGCCAGGCAGGATATATGTGGCTCCTGAAGATCAGACTCAGAGCCACCTCCTCTTCCCCTGCTGGGTCAGGGATGCCTTTCAGGGGTTTCCTACCCTTCCCTGGGTATTTGCCTGGGCTGGAGCACCACTCACACCCAGGAGCAGGAAGACAACAGCCCAGCGCAACCTGCTCAGGGCTTCCCTGGGCACAAGGTGGTCCCAGGAACTCCTGCCAGCTCTGGCACGAAGCACACTCAATCCATGGGGGGTGCAGCCAAAAGCCAACCTCGCCCCCACTTGCTGGTGTGCTCATTGCGTGGGATGGGATAGAAAACCTCCCTGGGGAGTCCCACAAGCTGCACAGACTGTGTGATGGGATGGACCAGTGGCACAGGCGCTACATCCTGCCCCAGCAGGGTGGAATGGGGAAAGGGGACATGCCCAGGCGTTGGGGAGCACATCAGTCTGTGCTCGTTGTCCATGGGGATGAAGCTCCTCACCAGTCCCAGGATCCCTGCGTGGAGCCAGAGTCTTACCTTGCGGTGGAGCAGCTGGGCCTGCGGCCCTCCATTGCCTTCAATCTCATAGCGGACGCTGTTGAAGAGCGCTACGCCATACTGCTCCTTGTAGCACTGGCAGAACTCCCCCAGCACCTTCCCCGTCTTCTCTGCAAGAGGAGAGCAGAGCCATGTTAGGCAGGGACTGGATTCGGGATTCGGGGATCTCCTTGCCACAGACTGCCCAGCACCCCACTTGGACACCTTTCCCCTGCCCTCCCCACCTACCACACACCTCCCATCACCCTCCTGCCCGCTGGAGCAGGGTTTGGTGTGGGGCCACGGCTGAGCTCACTGCTCTCTGCCCTTCCCATCCAGCCCAGGGACCAATTTGGGGTCAAGATGATCTTTTTTCGGCCTTTCACGTTAATGCCATAGATTCCTCTCCCCAGCAGGAAATTCCTGACATTAAGCTGATTCCGGCAATGCTAACGGCTTCCCGCGCCTTGTGCAGCTCCTCAACCCCACTCCAACTGCCTCAGCCAGCTGAGACTGGGGGGATCCTGCCCCATCCTCAGCCCCACTCACACCGACCCAACGCCACTGTGCCCCTGTAAGGGCCATCCTACGGGATGGGGCTGGCTGGCTCCAGGCTCTGCAGCCAGCAATGCTTAGGGCCACGCATGCAGCAGGAAGATTCGAAAGGACAGCCAAGCCCCCATCACAGTCCCCATGTCACCTCCTGTGCATGGCAGGGACCCCCACCAGGACCCCTGCCTCCAGACTGGGAGAGCTTGAACTGCCATGTGCCCCCCGGCACCCCACACTGGAGGAGATCCCCTCCTCCCTGCAGGCAGCACCCTGACGCACAGGCACCCTGCTCCAGACGGCACCTTGTCCCACGCAGCACCCTGCCCTCTCCCCTCCCCACCCCAGCTCAACCCCACATGGGACTCCTACACCAAAAACCCCATCACAAAGCATCACAGGTCCAGGGAGATAACTTCCCCAGAGCTGCCTTTGGCACACGGGGCCTCTATTTTGAATTTCACTCTCAACTTTGCCCCAGAGCCTGTGAAAAGCAAAGAATTTGAGTCGCCTCCAACTATTTCCGACGGCTCAGCCTCTGCCAGAGCACTGGCGATGGGCGCGGGGAGGAACGATGCTGGCTATGCATCCCCGGTGCAGGAGCCAGCACGATGCTGGGGGCGTGAGCCCAGACAAAACAGACCCCCGCGCCGGCCCCGGCACAGCTCAGCCGGAGCCAAAAACTTCAGCAGCAGCTGCCCCAAAGCCATGCTTGCAGCCAAGCCTGCACGAAGGAGCAGCTTGCTGCAGGGTGCTGCAAATCCCCGTGGGATGAGCAGCTCCGGAGGAAAACGCCGCCCGAGGACAACAGCTGAGGGCAGATAAACCCATCCCCGAGGAGACGCTGGCACTGCCAGCACCACGGGAGCAGACACCACAGGCCAGCACCTTGCCGTGCCAGGGCTGAAAATCGCTTCAAATTTAAGTGACCTTTTTTTCGCGGCAAAGAACAAGACGCCTGCTCGTCCTACCAGAGAAATTCCTCACCCCCGATTTTGGCATTTTCTCCTGGAAAAGAAAGAGCTCCCAGTCATGCCGGGCTTGCATCTGCACCACACCTCTGTTGCAACTCCCGTCTACAAAACTGTATGATTTTGGCCAGGGCTCTGGGCAGCGATGCTGACAGCTGAGATTTAAAAGGACATTTTGAGGTTTCATTTCCTTTCAGTCCATGGGAAAAAAAGAGCCCCAGGTCCCTGGGCAGGCGAGACAGCTTAGTCACTCATTCTTCTCTGATTAACGACGGACCAATTAGGAGGTTTTAAGTAAATGGAAAAGCAAAAGTCGATTACTTGCAGACACTGAAACAAAGGATTTGCAGTTAAATATCCAAGGTGACTAACTCTCCCTCAGCTCAGCAAGCCCCTCCAGGGGATGCTGGGGGGGGCACTGACCCTCCCTGCCTGGTAGCCCTAGCTACCCCACCAGCCACCACACTCAGCCCTGGGCAAGCAAGAGGGTCAGGGGCCTGCAGGGGGTCGGGAGGAGGTGGTCATCGGCGTGGCGAAGCAGTGACTCAAGGTGACACTGTATCTGGCAAGATGTGGGCTGCTAGTGGTGGTACAGCCGGGCTTTGCTTGAGAGCAGAGGATGGGAAGCCCGCGGTCATGATGCCAATGGGTGCCCCAACCCCATAGCACCCTACGTGGGGCTCACGTGTCCCACAGGGGAACCAGCTAAGCCACCCACTGGCTCCTTCCCCAGGCTGAATAAAACCCCCCAGCAGTGCTGGGGTCTACGGAGAGCATTCCTCCCCCATCTGAGGCCACCTACGAGTGGCCATCCCTCTATGAGCAGCTTTGGCTGTGCATCCAGCCAAGAGCTGGAGGGGTCTGGGGACAAGTGACAGTTCAGGGAGCTATATAGTCCCCTATCTCCTTACAGCCCCACACCTAAGCTCCCCCCAGGTCATGGCGGGATGAGGGAGAGATGGGGCTCAGCTGACTCCCACCCAGCCACCACCCCGTCCTGGGTGCAGGCTCAGACACCCACAGCAAAGTGCTCCAGCAAGCCGGGTGCACACACAGGGACCTGGCAGGGCAGTGCCGGGTGTCCCCAGCCACCCACAGACAGTGCTTTCCCAAGCCTGGTGTTTGCTTTAGGACCACTGAGCTCCCGGCACTGACACCCTCCTGCTGCTCTGGGTGCTGCCACACCAGTCCCCATCACATCGAGCCCCGCGCACTGCAAATGGCACCGTGCAGAGGCACCAGTTCCCAGCAGCCAGGGTTACTGGGCTGGCACAGGCTCCAGCATGTCCCTCTGGTTTCTGGCAAGAGCAAGGGGAAGTCACCAGCTTTGTGGTTGCAGAGGTGTGCCAACAGCACCCACCAATGCCTGGCTCAGCAGAAGCCCCAGCACCAGCACCTCTGGTAGACTTCATCTGTTCCTCAGCCTCCGGGTTCTCCTCCTTCCCTCCCCAGCCATCCCCATGACTAAGCCACACGTGGCGGCTGCAGGAGGAGATAAAGGGGCTCTGCAGCAGCCAGCTTTGCACGGGGAGGGCAGAGAAAGGGCGGTGGCTATCCCAGCAAACCCCTGATGCCAGGCTGGACATGGGGCTGGGCGGGATGCCACAACCAAGGAGTAGGGTCCAGCTATGCCACATCAGCTCTGCACCCTCAGCCCTCCCTGCCCCGTCCCATACACCCTCCCCACCGCCATCGTGGGCACGGCAGGGCACGCAGCTCCTGTGAGGGCACCCTGGCAGGGGGACGAAACAGGCAGCACAGGTTTGTCCTTGTCCCGGATGACACCCGAGGAAGGACCGTGGAGCCTGAGGCTCATCTGGGCGAAACCAGCCTGGAGAGGCGGCTCCTGCTCC